GGGAAATTTATAGCACTGAACTCACACATAAAAAAAAACAAAAAGAGAAGAAATAAATAGCCTAATGCTGCACCTCAAACTTTTAGAAACAGAAGAACAAGTCAAGCCCAAAGCCCAAAGAAGGGAGGAGATTATAAAGATCAGGGCAGAAATTAATGCAGTTAAGACAAAGAAAACCCTACAAAAAATAAATGAATCAAAGAGTTGGTTCTTTGAAAGAATACATAAAATTGATAACCTTATCAAAAAAAAGGAAAAAACTCATATTCATGCAATAAGGAATGAAAAGAATAAAATCACTACAGATCCTACAGAATTTCAAAAGATCATTAATACCTACTTTGAAAATCTTTGCTCTGATAGGATAGAAAATCCAGAAGAAGAAAACAGATTCCTAGATATGTACAAATTACCAAAGTTGAATCAAGAAGATATAAAAATCCTGAAAAACCCAATATCAATTAATAAGATTGAAAATGTGATTAAAAACTTACTGACAAAGAAAAGCCCAGGCCCTGATGGATTCACAGCAGAATTTTACAAGAAATTCAGAGAAGATTTAATACCAACCCTCCTCAAACTCTTCAATGAAATTGAAAAGGAAGCAATACTCCCTAATGCAGCAAATCATCAAGAAAATCACACATCATGACCAAGTCAGAGTCATTCCAGGAATGCAGGGATAGTTCAATATTCCCAAATCAATAAATATTATACACCATATCAATACAGCCAAAGACAAAAACCACAGGATATCTCAGTAGATGCAGAGAAAGCTTTTGACAAAGTCCAACATCAATTCATGATAAAAACTCTACAGAAAATAGGAATAGATGGCCTCTACCTTAACCTGATCAAAGCCATCTATGACAAATGAACAGCCAACTTTATACTAAATGCACAAAAACTGAAAGCTTTTACTTTAAAATCAGGAACAAGACAAGGATGCCCATTGTCACCACTCCTATTCAACATAGTTCTGGATCCACTAGCCAGAGCAATTAGACAAGAGAGAGAAATAAAAGAAATAAAGATAGGAAAGGAATAAGTAAAATTATCACTATTTGCAGATGATATGATACTTTACATGGAAGACCCCAAAAACTCCACAAGAAGATTCCTTGAACTAATCAACATATTCAGCAGTGTAGCTGGATACAAAGTCAATACCCAAAAATTGATAGCATTCTTATACACAAACAACAAACAGACTGAGAGAGAAATTAAGGAAACCATACCTTTCACAATAGTATCCAAGAAACTGAATTACTTAGGAATCAATCTAACAAAAGAAGTAAAAGATCTATTCAATGAAAACTACAGTACTCTGAAAAAAGAGATCAAAGAGGATTCCGAATTCAGATGAGGGAAAGGATAAAAGCCCACCAAGTTGGAAGCAATTTGATTCCCAAGATAATTAAATATCTGAACACTAATTATCAGTTGTGAGATGCCATTTATTTAAAAAGACACTTTGAGATTATGCACATCCTCTGTCTAATTTGGAGAAATTTACTTAATTAAACAGGAATGACTCAGTCCACTGGGGCTTCCTTTGCCACTTTCAGATAAATATCATATGGGAACCGTACTTAACATAAGAAGCCCTGAAGACAGCATTTAAAATCTTACTAAATATTAGGTTGCAGGGTATGTTGTAAGTTTGATTAACAGTAAAATAAAGTTAATAGACATTGTGACTTACCTTTGCTTAGGATGAGAACTTGAAGTACAGAAGAGATGGCTTTGGACCAAGAGCTGGGCCTGGACTCTCTCACCTCTGGAGATGGCTTTGCTTCTCAGACTCTACTTAAGCCATTATCCTTCACTGTCATTACATAGAATACCTAACTGGGAATAAGAATTACTACTCATGTAAAATGCATATTATAATATTCTGGTAGAAAAGTACCAGGGAAGAAAGTAATCAAGAAACTTTCTGCAGAAATGATAGCAAAAGTCTGCCCACAAGAAGGTGAATCAGAATAAAAGGTTTGCACTACAGACATGGATACCAGAAAAAAAAATGACAAGGAGGATAACATATTGAATAGAGCTAAAAGGAGCAAAATCAGGATATTTACACTACACCAATTACAGATTTATAAAGGAGAGAATACTGGGAACTATCAAGAAGCCAAAAGTGGCCAGGAGTGGTAGCACATGCCTGTAATCCCAGCACTTGAGAGGCTGAGGGAGGAGGATCTTTGAGAGTTCAAGACCAGCCTGGGTTACAAAATGAGCTCAAGGCCAGCCTGAACTGCATAGCAAGACCCTGTCTCAAAAAGGCAAAAAAAAGAAGATGAAGAAAACAGTTAATGCTGAAAAGAGAAAAGAAGGAAATGTAGAAATTAAAAAGCAGAAGAAAAATTTCCATCAGGTGCTATCTGGTATCTACTAACTTTCCAAAACAATTGAAGAGAGGAAAAGAAAGATCCTCAGACGTCCACTATCTAAAATATTCCATACATTTACATATTAGAGTACATTTACTCTTTTGTCTCATTAACTATAAAAAAATAGACCACAGACTCTAAAATAAAATTATAAAAACTGTACAGTTATAAACAGGAAGCAATGCAAACATGTGAGAGATTCCCCATATAGGGATTCAATTATAAAACTTTGACTAAAAAGACACTGGAAATATTTCCAAGATACATTTTTACAATGATTCATATGTCAGGGTGGGATGATGTAAGCTTTGGAAATAGTACATTGATTTATTTTCAAAGATTTACTTGGGGAAAAGAGTCAGAAATACAAGCTGTAATTTGTAATGGCACCGTTAAGGAAGCCAAAAATAAATACTGTTTATAAATTATATGAGAAATGAAATATCTGCTAAGAAACAACAGATTTTTGCATTCAAAAATACTGCAGTGTTAGAATTCACCAAATGAGTTAATGAACAGATATGAAATCAGCATGAAACAATACCTAAACTGAAGAACTGACTAATGTAGTGACTAGGATCCATACAGACATATTGTTGATCCTTTGTTTACATAAGTCACTAAAAAAATAAAACAGTCAATGAGAGGAACAGCAGCCAGCACACTCAACTGAATAAATAATTCGGTGATGGACTTCTTTTCCAGGTTTGCTTTACTGTTGCACAGAACTATTTTTTGGAATCAAGAGCTGTTCATGGACTTTTAGGAAAGCATTCTTTTAGAATGTGTAACTACCTTATTTTCTAGTGATGTTGTAATTGCCACATTGATCAGAAATGTCTTATACCTTCCATTATATTGATAAAGGTAACCATTAACAGCAATTTTCAAAATGTTCAACAGGTGTTTTTATAAAGCTAATTTAAATGAGAAGTATGTATTATCATGTTTGAATGATCTGATCTTAATAAAGATCCTGCAAAAACTGGACATGATCCGTTTGAAATGTTCTAATATTCAAGTATGCTAACAATGCAATAGTGATAGAAAATTTATAAGACAAAAACTCCAAAATTAGGTAGATCACACAAAATTTAAGGTTTTATTGTAAAGTCCATTCCATACTTAGAGACTAACTTAAAAGATTCAAGGTCACTGCAGGGTAAACCTAGATATAACACAGTACAGCTCCACTATCTTCTAGCCTACAGAGATCTAATGAACTCTCTCAACTTCAATTTCCATATTTATGAAATGAGAATAATAAAATTTTTATAGGGATGTTTTGAAGGCTAAATCTTACATTTTCACACTGGAGTATAATTATTTGTCTTTGTGACTCTATCGTTCTTTCCTTCTGTCATCAAATATTTCTTGAGAGCCTACTGAAGTAAATATTAGCTCTGTATTATGATCTGTATCTATACATCCCTCCAAAGTCTCATGTGCTCATAGGTGGTACATTTTAGAGGTGGCTGGATCTAGTGTGTATGAATATGGATTAAGGATGTGTGATTAATAAATTAGCCCACTATTTGTTTAGCATAGTTCTGGGTGTGGATAATGGGAAGGCCCACCCTGGGAAATCTGAATGGAATAAAAGGGAAAGAGAGGCTCACTGCTTGCTGCCTCCTGCCTGTCCTGCTATGGACTGTTTTCTCCTCAGCTGTGCCCCTTTGACATGCCACTCTGGTTGGAGTCAACTAACTATAGACTGAAATCCCTACAAACTCTGAGCTAAAGTCATCATTTTCCACCTTTATCTTGGTGTTCGTCATTTTGTCCCAGCAATGAGAAAGTAACCAAGACACTCTTCCACTGTCACTTATAGTCATGTGGTTGTGGGCAAATTCTTTAACTTCTGTATCAATTTTATCATCTGTCAATGTGGAATAAAAATGGCACATATTTCAAAGTATAAAGATAAATGAGCTACCATAAGTAATATATTTACAGAAAGATACTTGATATAAATCAGAAAATCAGTTGATACAATCTCAGCACTCTGGAAGACTGAGGAAAGAGAATCATAAGTTCAAGTCCAGGTTGGAAAGTTAGTGTCTTAGTGAGATTGTGTCTCAACATACAAAAGAAGGGTGTGTGGCTGAGGGTGTATCTCACTACGAAGGAAGGCCCTGGGTTCAGTCTCCAGTACTGTGAAAACAGACTAGATTACTATTGACTAGTGTTGATGTTTTCCTCCTATGTTCTTCTACTTCTTCACCTGATTTATATCATCATCATGATGGACAGTGGTACCTTAGTTCACAAATGTAACTGGTTCCATGATTCTAGAGAAGATAGCCACAGTCCTATTCATCTCCCATTGTCAAGTTCATGGCAGGAAGCAAACTTTTGCCAAATGCTTCTGTTAGTGAACCAAGTCACAAAAAGAAGCATTGGTGAACCGAGGCATTACTGTTTCAGGGATATTTATCCTACTAAAAGGTGATAAACTTCTGTTCACTTTATAATACATATAAACATATTTATCAACTGCTAATTTTCATTGATAGTCAAAACCTCTGGCTTTCAAGTGAAAAAATCCAAACTAGCTTCATTTTTTTTTTCAAAAAAAAATGATTTTTTTGGGTGATAGAACAAAAGAACATAAAAGAGAGAAGTAAGACTAGTCTCAAAATCATGTGGATTCAGAGACTCAAAATTTGTCAGGCTGTTCTTTTCCCCAACTTATCCATTCTGCTTCTTTGTGAATATGAGCTTCATTCTTTCCTTCTACAGCAGATTTCTCTATGAGGCTGACATCATTATTGAGTTCTGGGACTAAATCTTACCAAATCCAAACCAAGTGAACAAGAGCTCAACAACCAACTTCACCTGTAAAAGCAAGTGGAAAAAGTATTCATTGGTCTGTTCTGTGCTGGAAGCCCGTCCTTGACCCAATCCCTATAGCTGAGAGAGATCACATCCTAGCAGGACAGAGTACGTGACAGCAGGAGTAAAGCGAAGTGGAAAGGAGAGCTAGCTGGTCTCTGGAAATATGTGGCACCGACTTGATCTAGGTCACTGCTAGTTCCCTTCCTTCACTTGATTCTGTATTCCTAGGACTGCTTGATCCTTAAAAGATACTCAAAAAAATTATTTGGAAAATGAATCAAATTCACTGACAATATAAGCACCTATCCCCCAAAAAAGGGAGAATAATGATTTTCAATAACTCCTATTTTTTGAGATATCCAACTTTTAATTATATTTAATAAATATTCTTTTAGTCCATCACAATAGCCTATACATAAATCTCCAGTTCTCTCTGGTTATTTATTATGTCACCACTACAAATCTAAAAAGTGCCTGCTCATTCCCGTGAGACTGAGCTTACCAGCAAGCCTACCTCATATCCTTATTCCAGCCTGGCCTGGGTTATCCTAGCTTTGGATCACCTAGGCAGAACACACAAAACTTGGGGATGGAGTATTTAGTCCTTGGTGTTTAGGGGCTAATGATGGATTTCCTGTATTAATGTTCTCAATTTGTCGCCTGTTTGCAACCTCTCTCATCAAGAGGAAAAGTCTATTTCCTATTCCTTAAACCTGGCTTTGTAACTTGTTCTACCTGGCTCATTGTCAACATGAATATCATACTAGCTCTGAGGGTGGACTCCAAGAATCTATATATTCTTGTGCTTTCCTCCTCTCGTGGCCAGACCAGCCTGTTAAAGGGCAAGGGACATCTGGCAGCCCAGCAGCCCCATCACTCCAATTGAGAGCAAGACATTTGACTGAACCCAGAACAGCAAGGAGAACTTCCCAATGATGCAAAGACTAATCCATTTATAAGCAGACTTATTATGATTTTTATGTCTTACTGTGACCATAGAAATCTAATAAAGGGTTTATTTACTCTAGGCCTTCCTCCAGTCATACTCATATAAGTTTTATGATCTCATGGTTGGTCACCCTATACCCAGTCAAGCATTTGTCATTGTTTTTCACACATAACTTAAAATGGTGGTTGAAATACCTGCCAAATGTCTTGTGTTCTCCAGCTGGTCCTTCTGATCCACTTGAGAAAATGCTGCTAAATATTGAAACAAACACTTTGCCATGAGCAGCCTTGTGTGCTTCTTGACTTGGCAGGCCCTTAATCGGCAAGAAGTCAGGAATGTCGAAGAATTCTTAGAAACTTCTCAACTTGACCAAACATGGGCAAAATCAAATTCGTAAGCCATCAGAAACTAACAAAATAAGACTATGTGTAACTTTTAATAGTTGCATAAATCATACCAGATTCTGGCTAACAGCTGTAGTTTTGAACTGATAATAATTGAAATTCTTGCATGTCAACATCTCACCAGCCATTTCATGTTTCCAGATAACACTGAGCTTTCAAAAATGAACTAGAGACCATACTCATAAGTGAAATAAATCGGACCCACATGTGTAAACATTGTATTTTCTCCCTTGTGTAAGAATCTGAAAGAGTAAGTAAAACCCAAAATGTACAATAGATATTATGAAAGGGAAAGAAACTGCTCAAAGGAAAGAACAACTGGGATGAGGGAAAGGAGAAAAAGAAAGAAAGAAGGAAGGGAAAAAAATATATATATATAAGGATGGATGGGATAATTGGACTGCCAATGTATAATGATCTGTTAAAAGGAGCAGTTAATGCTTAATTTTCTTTGACCAATTTTGCATGCTTATGTCTGGTAATCTGAACAACTAATTTAAAAACAAAAATATGCAATGCAACAACCACTGGTGAATTCCTACCATCTTGTCTAGTGCAACTCTGTATCCTTTCTGATTTTTTTTTATTATTTTTTATTCTCTTTAATGGTTTGATTGATCTTTCATTCTTACATCTGATAACCTGTTCAACTTCATTGAAGATAACGATATGTAATAAAACAAGCACTAATTCCTATCATTTTGTGTTGAAATCCTGTATGATTTTTATTATCTTTGCTTTGTTTTGTTTTTGTCTATGTTGTTGTTATTTTGTTATTGGTTTTATTACTTTATTTGCTTTAAAATTAAAAAATGTAAAAAAAAAATGATTGTTCCAAAGTATCTTTAATCAGGAAGTTTCAGAACTTACATGTAATGCCTGCCTGCTTAACTGTTCCATCCAAGGAAGGCATATAGGTGTTCAATAAAAAGCCAGGGAAATCTTTGGAGTTCAAGGCTCTTTTCAGAAGGAATAACAGAGACTTCACTCTGAAAGTGACTTGTAGACTCAGGGAACTAGAAAGAAAATATTGTCAGGCCTCCAATATAAAAGCAACTAAATAAAGGAAAATATCTGGTGACCCGATGAAAACTGTCTCTGGCAATTCTTCAAAATCCCTGTTTCAGGTACCACTGGTGGCTCAAATCACTTAGCTGATTATTCCAGCATTTGCTAAAATGAGAAGTGCTATCCAGCAATGAAATCTGGAAAAATCTGAGTGGTACTTGACTACCTTAAGAAATAAATGATCCTATAGTTGGAAGAATAAGCCACATATTGTGTACTCCAACACTAGCTTTTCTGTCTTCTCTACTCACATAAATTAGAAGACTGAGCCAACACTGATATGTTCCATTTACCCCATTTTGTTACCCCTTTTTATCCACAATAATTGATGTATTTGCAATCCAAAGATTATGTTTGCCTTTAGACACATCTGGCCTTTCTCACTGGGACATATGCTCAATAGGAAGATAGTTTCTAAAGACTGATACACACATAAGGAAGTTGAGAGAAATTGTTATTTTTCACTATCTTGTCTTTTTATTTTTTTCTATGTCATC